GAACCGACCTTCGAATCTCTTCACCCAACACTTCTACTCGAAATGGAAGTAATCCCAACAATTAGGAACATTCAATTCGCCTAAACGAAACATTGTGAATATATCTCATATCCGATCTACTAATATGCATACGTTTTCAATAAGACCCTGAAATTAAGTGGCATCGTGAGGCCCACTCGTTTCACGGGCTTTGGTGATAGTGAGAGGCTGGAATGGTCCAATGAGATTCTTATGCTCGGTCATCCGATGGGGTTAGGTGAGGTAGAGTGAAGTGGAGTGGGATGGAGTAGGTTGGAATGATATTTGGTCGTGTAGAATAAGACGAGGTAAGGAGAGATGAAGTGAGTTGGGGTGAAGTAGGGCGGTGGAGCGAAGTGGAGTGGGATGGATTGAGATGGGGTGAGGTGAAGTGATGCACGGCGAGGTGGAGTAGGGTGAGTCGGAATGGGTTGGGGCGAGGTAAGATAAGAGAGCTGACGATGCCGCCGTTCCCAGCATCCGTCTAGCCAGACTCCAAGTCGATGGGCCGACGGCAACCGCTTTTGTCGTCGCGCAGCAACGCAGACGTCCGAAGAAAGACAGGCCTGCTGAAAAAGACAGGACTGAGCGGCCAACCGGGCCGTCAAGACGGTCTGTTGGACTCGTGCTCAGACAACAATCGTTTTCACAAGAGCTCTGTCTTCCTGCATGTCCTGCCAGCCCGTTTCGGCTTTCTTCAGTCAGTCGACATGACACTTTCGTGACGGGCAACAGGCCTGCGACCACAAGACACGAGCTGGCCACTTTGTTGTATGCCTCCGATGATTGGGTGTCGGCATCAAGTCGTCTTTGTTAAACTAAAGAGAAAGGCCGACTTTTTCACACGAAAACGTGGACTCTTTGTCTGTTCGGCTTTGACGCTACTGAGCTCCTCGTTGCGATGGTTTGTCAGGATACAGGCCATTCACCTGCTCGTTCTGTGCGTCTGAAAAGGCCTCTGCTGCGCTTCGTTCTTTTCTGGCCATACAATTGACGCAACGGGGAATGAAGACGCCCGCATTCGGGCCATGACGAATGATGGCCAGGTCGCTGCTTCAATTGTTCTGACGACCACCTCATTTCTACATATTCCATTTTTTTGATGGCTCTCACTTACACACAATCAGGTATAACTACCCCGATTAGTATGAAAGAGAACCCAAAATATCTTTATATATCCTGCTATGTCTATCTATATCCTTATATTTTAGTTTTTAATTATGATTATACATATCATGTAGGATAGAGCCGAATAGACTTCTTGACTTATTTACAACCTGAATATGGTTATATGGATGGTGCCCCACTCTGATGATGTCCGTCATACGACCGATGAAAGCTGGGCACGTTTTCTTCAGAATTCAAGTGCATTGCCTCAGAAACAGCATCAACAATAATGAGCTTCGAATCTCTTCACCGAACGCTTTCTTACGAAATGAATCTAAGAAAAATGCCCTGCTCTAATGATGCCAGTCATTGACAGATATAATCTTAACAAGTATTAATCAGAATCGTAGGATAATTGTAGCATACCTTTTCACTTCGAAGGGAAATTGGTAAGAATGAATTCGTGAATTTGCACAATCCAACAGTCATCACTCAAAGACAATCTTCCATCGGTTCTCGATCAGACTAATTAACGAATTCCTTCCAACCGACTTTTCCTTTGAATTTAAAATCATGTTAAAATTAATCACTAGGGTATTCTTCTAAATTCAACTACTATTCGCTAACAGTGTTAGCTAGAATATTTGATTAAAGCCAACCGGCAGCTGTCCAAGCGGAGTCCGCCGATGTGTTCTGGTATGATCGACTTTTGATCTCTTCCCCATACACTTCACCTGAAATGGAAGTGTACTCAGCAATTGTTGACCAAAAGATTCTATGAACTCCATCGTCTCTTTGTACATAGGAATTGGCTTGATCTTGATTTCGCAACTCACTCGTACTGTACCATTGTTGTAGGGTCTTCTTCCCGCTTCTGACGGTCCACCGGCCATATGACGTTCAGGTGGATGCAGTACACGAAAACTCCTTCCTCGCTTTGGGTGGAAACGGGCTGAGCTTTCGTCCATCATATGATGGACATCATCAGAGCTGGGTGTCATTCTTGCAAAAGTATCAAGTTAACACCAGGGCAAGGAGACTATC